TAAAATTTTCTGAGTTAGACGCCTCATTTTCGGATCAATCTTGTGAGAAAGAAAAAACATTAACACAAATAACATTGTCAATAGCATAAGAAAGTATTACTTACCACTATCGAGGACAAATTCAGAACATTTCTATACAGTGTTGAATTCACTGTTGATCATTATTTTAGATATGAGAATATATTTTGTGTTTTATATTACATCATGCAGTCTTTGTGCGTTGTGTATTTCTACATCTTTTATCTTGTTCAATTATGCTAGAGCTTTTGATTACCATTCCACTGAGCGTTGTAAACTTATTATCAATAATAATTACTTGCTCTCTTTCTATCACCTTTTTCACTCTTTCTGCTCTTCATCCTTGCTCTTTTTCTTGTATATAAGCTCATGTTCTGATTGACGTAGACACAATTAGAGAGGCAACGGTGAAACAGAAATTTCTTGATTTGTTATTAAATGTGACCAACGATAATCGTGGTCGAGAAATCCAAATATGCAATCAGATTCTCGAAATATGGTATCTGTTCAAACAATAAAGACTCCGCTTCTCTTGACGACAGCGAATGTTCGCCAAGTTTCATGGCAGGTCTGCAAAATCAAGTTTACTTCACAGATAAATGAAGTGTACAATTCCAAGAATCTGATTTCAGATTCGAATTCCTCGGCCCCGACTACCTTCGGTCAAACTTTATCAAAAATAGTTATTTTCTTAAAAAAAGCCTTTAGTTCTTGCAAAAATCAAATCAAGACATTTTGGTTTCACTGTTAACTGTGATGCTGGCTAATGAGAGTAGTGATTATGATACTCATCTGATTTGTTATTGTTGATCATCATAAGACACACATGGTATAGGTAACGAAATAAACCATCATCTCGCTCTTGTAAACATCGACTTTATAACGAACAAGAAATTGGTCCTGAGAAATTTTGTTTTATTGAAACCACCTTCAAATTTGTTGCATTTATTTCTTAACAATCGAATTGTTTGCCATTTTTCAACTAGTGCTATCGTACGTTTTATGCTCAAATGTGGAATGATAGCATGACAACCTCTTATGATCAGTTAACTTTTCTATTTGTTTCCAAAATAGTGACTATAAATCTGCATAGAGTAGTAATTTGAAACTTGAAATGTTTGAAGATGAAATGATGATAACAAAGGTTTTATGGTTATTTCTAATAATTCAATTATTTTTCTCTACATTGTTAGAAATATCATTAGAATAAATCAACTATCATGCCGCCAACCTTCGAATTAGTCGTTTGTATAACAGCTGCGGCACTTTTCGATTGTACCGAGGCACGCGAAATTTTGAATCGTGATGGATTTGAAGCATATAAAGAACATCAACGTGCTAATCTTATGGTACCTCATCAGCCTGGTGTCGGTTATCCTCTTGTTCGATCACTCTTAGCATTGAATGAAGCTGCTAAAAAACAACTGGTAGAAGTTGTACTAGTTTCTCGTACAGATAGTGATTCTGGAGAACGAATACGACAATCTATTCATCATTACGAACTACCTATTACACGTATGTCATTTACTGGTGGTACAGATGTCACAAAGTACTTATTGGCTTGGAAATGTGATCTTTTTCTTACTGCAGATGAAGATCAAGTACGCACAGTATTGTGTGGTACTAGTTCTAAAGTATTTACAGGCATTGCAGCTGCTTTAGTGTGCAGTATAGTAAACACGACACCAAATATTTCTTCCAATTCAATACCAATATCTGAATCTCCTCATTGTCAAGAATCGGATTCGAAACTTGATATGACAGTATTGCCTTCTGAAGTAAATACATCAACCAAATATATTCCATCTGCTTCATTACCTTATTTATCATGGCCAGACGGTCAGGTTCGTATTGCTTTCGATGGAGATGGTGTACTTTTTTCAGATCAAGCAGAACATGTCTTTCAAACAGAAGGACTTGAAGGATTTTTCGAATTCGAACGTAAACATGGACACATTGCTTTACCAAAGGGTCCTATGCAAGCATTTGCTCTTAAATTACAAAAACTTCGTCAATCACTAGGAGAAAATCATAAATGGAGAGTACGTACATTTTTGGTTACTGCTCGTAGTGATGTAGGTAACATACGAGTATTTCATACTTTCAAAGAATGGGGTCTCGAAATTGATGAGACACATTTCTTAGGTGGATTAGATAAAACACCATTTTTACAATCAATTAATCCAGCCATTTTCTTTGATGATTCAAGAGAACATATTGATCGAGCTAAAATTTATGTTCCGTCAGCACAAGTTATCTATGGTATTAAAAATCTTGATACTAGCATTCCAACAAGACCAATATCTATTGAAAGAAAAGACGTGCAAAATGAGTATTCCACGTAAACGTATTAACTCATGATGTACTCACTTTTTTCCTCTTAATTATCTGTTTGTTTATCTATTTTTATTTTATCTGTTTTCGATCAATCTTTTTTTTTCTGAATCTTTTATTATAATAAAATTAGCATTTTTTTCTTTTTGGATTTAATAGAAAAAAAGTAAATGATAGCGATAAAAGTATTTCTAATACATATTTCAGTAACTTATGACGATAATTATTTCACAGAATGAATATTCTATTATTAACCTTATCTAAGTGGATGTTAGAAGCGAAATATAAAAATATATTTTCATGCGGGTGTGGATGAGTGTTGGTATGATCTTCTCTTTGGCACCCATATGCACATATACCCACACCCCGCAATTATCATTATCTTTTGTTTAAATACGCCAAATAGAATACTGCAAAAGGCAAAGCAACAATAGTTTCCCAAATGAGATCAAGAGGAAACATAAATTAATACTAAATATTTGATTCATTTGTTAGAAATATTAAATCTTGAGTTATTCCTTATTCTCAATTTTGCTTATTGTATTGTGAATGTATTGGATATTTATGTCAATAATAGCATAATGTTCGACTAGATATATAGAGACATATAATTTATAAGAGTGAGCTCTAGCCATAAACAGGTTCATGTTGCTTAATCTTGGTTAAAAATAAATTCGATGGTGATGATACTCTTAGAAAAATTTTTATCAATATAGATCTTACAAATATTCAGTATCGTTGCCTATAAATTTGAAATGTATTCCTGCTTACTATGATTTATTTGGTCACTATTATTCTCCTTGCTCGAGGGTTAATTCGACATGAACAAGATTATTGTTTTAGTCTTGGTTCTAATTCTTCCATGTCAAATATGTCTTCATTTTTGTCTCTTGTATTGGACACCATGACGCATACTAGGATTTCTAGGGTATGGGCGTGGATGCTGAGAAGAGGATGCACATAACTATACCTATACATCCACACTGTACACCATATTCAACCTACATCAGAGATGGACACAGGATCGTCCTGTCCTGTAGGACAGGACAGAAAAAGTTATCCTGTGCCCATCTCTGACCCACATCCATTTGAATTTGTTAAACCATTGAAAAATTCGAGTAGTAAATCAACTAATGTCCGTTTCAAAATAAAAGGCAGGTTATTATTTTATGAATAACTTTCGCCGAATACAAGATAAAGATCTGTGGTTTTCACCACCCGAAAGAGCAACTTTCGGGTCATCGATCTGCAAAGAACTCATCAAGACGAAAGATGCTTTTTTACAGCTGCTTTTGGATGAAAACTTTTTCCTCGCGTATTTTCATCAATTTTCACAACAATCTCAGCTCAAATCACTTTTTTTTCCTATGAGATTATTACATTTTTTTGTAAACCCGCTTAGAATAAGAAGTTGAGGAATGATTAAATATATGATAATCTCATAGCGAAAAAAAGTGATTTGAGCTACATTTTGATGTAATTTGAGCTGAGATTGTTGTGAAAATTGATGAAAATACGCGAGGAAAAAGTTTTCACCCAAACATCCAAAAGCACCTGTAAAAAAAGCATTTTTCGTCTTGATGAGTTCTTTGCAGATCGATTGTCCGGACGTTACTCTTTAGAATGGTGAAAACCGTAGATCTTTATCTTGTACTCGGCGAAAGTTATTCATAAAATGGCAATCTGCCTTTTATTTTGAAACGAACATTAGTGCATCAAATAGTATAAATCAGTGAATGACTAGTATCATTAGTTGCATATTACGAATTGTACTTCTCATCATATTATTTTTTATTATGCCTGTAGCATTACTTTTAAAACCATGGTGGATATCTATGCAACCATTTGAAAGAGCAAGTCCAACCATCATGAATGATTATTATTGTATTGTAACCTGGCCATTAACAATCAGTAAAAATATTCGATTTTATCGAACAAATGATACATATATCGATAAATTAAAATATTAGAATTGTTGTTGTTTGTTTCACTTTTTTATTTAAAAGTAAAAGAAAAAAACAAAGTTTCATTCATAAAAATAATAAATTTGTTGAAAATGTGATGTATCTAAATCAGTAAATTCAGGTGTATATTGATATATAAGATATTTTAATTCATCTCCTAATGAATTGAAATGATTCATATTTTGACGTGTTTGATTAGTTAAAAAATTTGCCATATATTGCATTACTTCAACGGAATTTTTTGTATGAGGTATTGTTGTATTTACTCGCCATTCAAATGCATTCTTTTCTGGATGCCATTGAACACCAAAAATTGGATAACGAAGACCTAAATCAAATAAATTAGAATCAAATAGTACTCATACGACTCAAACCAAACAAAAACCAACGATAAACCGTTCGGTATAATGTGTGCTATATCGGACCTAGTTTTATACCTAGACGGTCAGCTATATTCTAACCACCATTCTATCGCGGTATATCGATAGTTCATCTCCGACCAGCAATCTGATTTCAGTATACTGGTAGTAGTGTGAACAAATGTACAACATGGATAAATATATTGTTTTTAGAAACATTATTAATTACATATTATTAAAACTGAATTTTATGATAAATAATATTTACTTTCAATAGTTGAAACAAATGTTCGACCTTCCAAATCTGGGCTTATAGTTAACATATTATAAAACATTGATAATATAGGATCAGCCGAGAAGTTCTACATTAAGAGATATTAGATAACCAAATCAAGTTGAAGAAAATCTTTACTTCTGGTCGCATACAAAAATTATGGAAATTTGCCGTTGTTGGCTCATTTTCTAAAGCATATTTTATGCTTAAGGGTAATGATCTTCCCAATAATCGACTATCATTTGCATCTATTTGCAAAAAACAATAATAAAAACTAATTAAATAGAAAGTTCAATACTTGGCATAAAAGAGAGTTCTGTTGCATAATCATATCCTTGACAAGGTTCCAAAATACCAGTTGAATATCTTGTTAACATAAGCAGTACTTCAAAACCTAGACATGTTCCCCATAAAGGAAAACTTTTTTGTATTTCATCAAAATCCTAAAAAGTAATATGCATGAAACAATAAAAAATTTCCTTTCATTTTACTTTTAATGACCACACATAAAAAAGTTTAGCAACAAAAAAATATTCATCAGTAAAATCTCCGCCAGGAAAAAGTACTCTAAAAGAAAGTCAATACAAAGAAAATATTTTTTTTTCTTCTTTCTCTTTATTGACAAACCCATTTAGCGAATTAAACAAATGTAAATAATAATCTATTGATTGATACATTCTATAAAATTAGAAAAAACCAAATTATCATTTAAATGTTTTTTTTTGTTTCAATCTTTTACCGAATAGGTACAACTTGAGCACCAGTTGCTTCGATATATTTAACATAAGAAGCTGCTATATAAGTAGTACGATTTGGTTTCATCCATGATGTTGGAGTTGGTTGAGTTAAAATTCCTTAATTATATCAATAAAATCGTATTTGACTACATAATCATATTGATTATTTTACCAATAATTGGTCGAGTATTTTCTATAGTTGAATCTTTGTTTGTCTTATCTCCATTAATTTGTGCAATGGTTAGAATTATTAATAATAATCTAATCATCATCTTATCGGAATTTATTCAAATCTAAAAAATAAAAAACAATCCATCATTATTATTAACATTGAATTCCCTCGTAAGTCACTATTCGTTCTAGTATCTGAATAAACTTTGTTTCAAGGTTATGCAATACATATATTTTTTTCGTTACGCAAGACATACGATAAAAAAAAGGTACAGAAGAAAAACTTTTTTTTTTGACTATACAGCTTTTTTATTTTCATGCATAGAATATCTTTCTCTTTTTTTGATAAAAATATAACGACAGAAAACAAGACTAGAAATAACTATTGTTTTATTATATGATATTTGATCAATTGAATAACATAATCAGCATTAACATCGATCAAGAATAAATCTTGATTGTTTACAATGTGCATCTACAATGATTCAAATTATTTTTAATAAGAAGAAAAGTTCAATAAATAAATATTTGTTTTTTTTTTTACTTCTGTTTGATTTGATTGAAAATTTGTTTTTGCCATTTGTATTGTTTCATCACTAAGAACAAAGAATATATTATATTTTTCAAGGTATTTCATTGTATAGATATTTGAATAATTATTTAAATCAATCGTATGACGTAAATCAAATGTATCAATATCAAATAGAAGTAATGAAACTTTTTTTGGGATTATATATGGAAAATATGATAAAAATATTTCATGTTGCTCTGTTAAAGCAATTAATGTATTTGTACAACAAAATTAATTACTATTGATTTAAATACAGAAAAAAATAAAACTTTTTAATAATGAAAACAACTTATAAACATAATTTTTTTTCTACAGTAAAGTCTCTTAAATGAACATCGTCGAACCTTGTGAAAAGTGTTCATTGTGGAGAGATGTTAATCTCTGCGTATATCGCGTTAGTCCTAGAGTTTTGAGTCACCCTTTCGAAAGAGAAAATCTCAATAAAACATTGAATGTTATATATTTTACTATGAAATGAAAAGAGAATATTCAGAGTATTAGCTTCTTTACTAATTTTGAAGTAATCAGAGATGGTTCTGTGTATTGTTTATCTTCCTCCACTTGAATATTTATGAATCCAAAACACTTTTGAACAGAATACAAAACCTTGTTTAGTTTCACGAAATCCTATACTGCTGTTTTGATCTTGATATATGTAAATTTGATGAACGGTGCTTTACAATGCATCCAAATATATATATTCATCAAGTTTTATTACGTCAAAACTATTTTGATTTTGATAATCATTAAAATATTCTTTTTTTTCTTTTAAAGCATTGAATATGGAGCCCAGTGGAATATTCGATTTTTCAATTGATTCCCGCTCTGGTGAAACATTGCTACTGCTGTTATCCTTGATTAATTGAATCTTTTCATTTAATATAAAATGATGTCGTCTCGTGGTTTCTTTTTCTCATATGTACATTTATGACAAATAATGAACTGTAGTTTTCAGCGCATTAATCATTCAGAAAAAAATCAAATAAAAAACTGCATTTTTATGCGTCGAAACGTGCGCTTTGTCTTATCACCGTAAAATGCGTCCTTATCTGATTGAGTAGCCAGAAATGATGAAGAGCAAAGGGAAATAAAAAGAAAGATGCACGTATCTTCATTGATAAGA